TGTCAAGAAGGAAGGCTCAGCTGTGTTTGCCAACTGTCAAATATCTGGGATTCCATATCTCTGAAGGTCAAAGAATTATGGGGCCAGAGAGAAAAGAAGCTGTGTGCCAAATACCGATACCCAGGAATAGAAGACAAGTGCGAGAATTCTTGGGGGCAGCAGGCTTCTGTAGGATATGGATTCCCAGCTACCCGATACTGGCAAAACCTCTGTATGCAGCTATCAAAGGTACAGAGCACGACCCCTTCTTATGGACTCAAGAACAGCAAACGGCATTCGAAGATGTGAAGAGGGCTTTGATGAGTGCCCCAGCATTAGGTCTACCTGACCACACACGGCCATTCTATCTGTATGTACATGAGTAAAGAAGAATGGCTGTGGGAGTATTGACACAGTACTTGGGATCATGGCAAAGACCTGTTGCCTACATGTCTAAGCAACTGGATGCAGTGGCCAGCGGACTTCCACCTTGTCTAAGAGCCGTAGCTGCAGCCGCCCTGCTAGTAGCTGAAGCCGATAAATTCACTCGGGTCAAGAACTTTATGTACGAGTTCCACATGCAGTACAGACGTTGTTGGATTACAAAGGAAATCATTGGTTTAGTAATATTACACCGACGGCAGTAGTTATGTAAAAGAAGGGATCCGCTATGCAGGATATGCAGTAACAACGATAGACAAGGTGATAGAAGCTCGGCCACTGGCAAAAGGAACATCAGCACAAAAGGCAGAATTGATAGCACTGACACGAGCGTTACAATTGGCTGAAGGATTAAGAGTGAACATCTACACGGACTCCAAGTATGCGTTTTTAACCACTCATGCCCACGGAGCTTTGTATAAAGAAAGAGGACTATTGAATTCAGAAGGCAAAGAAATCAAATACGCAGCTGAGATCCTACAACTATTGGAAGCAGTGTGGGAGCCTAAAGAAGTCGGTATTATACATTGTCGGGCGCATCTGAGAGGAGATGGTGATGTAACCAAAGGGAATCGGATGGCAGATAGTGCAGCTAAGCGTGCTGCTGAATCAGGAAGACAGGAATATGTGGGGCATATAGCTGCTCTTATACCAACTCCACTGTCTAAATGGACTCCAATTTATACAGCTCAAGAAGAGGAGTGGTTAAGGACTGAACCTGGAAAGTATTTGGAGAACAAATGGTATCAGTTAGAAGATGGAAGAATAGTTATTCCAGCATCACTAGCGGTAGAAATTGTCCAAAACTATCATAACGGAACACATTCTGGGAGAGACAGTACAGAAGAATCTCTCAGAAAACATTTCTACATACCAAGATTGTCCAACTTGACTCAGGCCATTGTACGTAGATGTGTAGCGTGTGCTAAAAATAATGCAAGACAAGGACCAGTAAAGCCACCAGGAGTCCAGTTTATGGGGGGACTTCCCATGTCCGATTTACAAATTGACTATACAGTGATGCCTAAATCGGGTGGACATCGCTACCTGTTGGTAGTGGTGTGCACCTATTCAGGCTGGGTAGAAGCATGTCCTACTCGTACAGAGAAAGCAGGAGAAGTCGTGAGATTCCTGCTACGAGAAATAATACCCCGATATGGACTACCCTGCTCTATAGGATCGGACAATGGTCCAGCTTTTGTTCATCAGTGCCTACAACAATTGACTCATATGCTTGGTATAAAGTGGAGGCTTCACACGGCATATAGACCCCAGAGTTCTGGTAAGGTAGAGAGAATGAATAGAACTATTAAGAATCAGTTGGCTAAAATGTGTCAAGAAACCCAACTTAAGTGGAACGTTCTCTTGCCCATAGCTCTATTGCGAATCCGTAGTACACCTACCAGAAGGATGGGCCTCTCTCCTTTGAAATCATGTACGGGCGACCACCTCCCGTGCTTGGTAACTTAAGGGGGGATTTGAGTCAGTTGGGAGAAGGAATTACCCGGCAGCAGGTTGTAGAGTTGGGTAAGACTATGGAGGAGGTACAGAAATGGGTACAAGATAGATTACCTGTGAATATTTATCCCCCAATTCATAGTTAACACCCAGGCGACCAAGTGTGGATTAAAGAGTGGAATAATGTGCCGTTAGGGCCCAAGTGGAGAGGTCCTTATGTTGTTCTTCTGTCTACCCCTACAGCGATAAAAGTAGCCGAAGTGGCTCCGTCGATACATCACCCCAGGGTTAAACCAGCAGCAGCCGATTCCTGGCAAGTTACAGCAAATCCAGAGAATCCCTGCAAGATCCGGTTAAAACGCATGACTCAGTCGGAGTGACGAGGAACCTTGTAGATTACAAATTTTATTGTTTCAGAGACCTGGTAAGTGAGTGAGAAGGCCATAATAAAGCCTGTCCACTCACCAACGAGTGTATAAGTCAGGGAAAGTCTTGAGGGGACCCCTGTGAAGACGAGCAGAACTCCATTCCCTGCAGTCCTTACATCCTGGAAGCTGAGGTGCCTTCACACGGACGAAGACTGAGGATGACGACGAAAGATGTATTTTAATAATGTTTATTTATGTGTATTTTTATATTCAGGAAGGTAGAGGTACCAACACTCCTAGCTGTGAGGTATGCATTAAGACTACAAGAACAGGTAACTATATATCCCAGACCCTAATTTGGCATTCGCAATATGAGTGTAAAGGAGATGTATCAAGATGTAGATACTTAAATATAGAATATAGTGTGTGTCATTTAGGAGTAGGAGAACCTAAGTGCTTCAGTCCTGAGTATCAACCCCGTATAATTTGGTTGACTCTCAGAAATGGAGATCCTCAGGGGACCCTAATTAATAAGACGGTATTAGAATCCGTATATTCTTCAGGTGCTCTGCTATTTGATGCGTGTAAAGCAACATCAAGTGGTAGAAAGCCGTGGAATGTATGTGGGGATCTTAGATGGGAGAGGACGTATGGGTCTAACGATAAATATATTTGTCCCAGTAGTAAAAATAAATATGTATGTCCAAGATGCCCAAATAGAGATTATAACTTCTGCCCATATTGGTCTTGTGTGGGGTGGGCGACTTGGGGACAGACAGCAGACAAGGACATGATTGTGACTAAGTTGCCTACTAATCCATATTGTAAGTCTATGGAATGTAATCCAATCCATATACTTATAAATAACCCTGACAAGTTCTTAGATAAATATGGTAATTTATTTGGGTTTCAAATATATGGGACGGGTTTAGACCCTGGGACAATATTGTTTAGAGGGATAGAGACTGATACGGTAACCTCCCAAACTCATCAAGTATACCATTCCTTTTATGAAGAGATGAGCATAGATAATAAGATCCCCCATAATGCTAAAACTTGTTCATTGATTTAGCCGAGAGTATTGCCGGTAGTCTTAATGTTACCAACTGCTATGTGTGTGGAGGTACTAACATGGGAGACCAATGGCCTTGGGAAGCAAAGGAGGTAATGTCCGGTTCTGAGGCAGTTGACCAATTAACATCTACACAAGCCGACTATCATATGAGTGTTAGAGGTAAATCTGAGTGGAGATTGAAGACCTCCATCATAGGTTATGTTTGCATAGCGAGGAAAGGAATGATGTATAATACTTCTGTAGGAGAATTAACTTGTCTAGGCAAAAAGCTTATGATGATGATACAAAGAATACAACTTGGTGGTCGGCTTCAAATGTCTCAGAACCATCTAACCCGTTTGCAAGATATGCCAATTTAAAGAACGTATGGTTTGATCTATCCATCACATCTAACTGGAGAGCCCCAGCGAATTTGTACTGGATCTGTGGTAAGAAGGCCTATTCGGAGTTACCACAGGACTGGGAAGGGGCATGTGTGTTGGGTATGTTGAAACCATCCTTCTTCTTGTTGCCTATTGAAACAGGTGAGACCTTAGGTGTTAAAGTGTATGATGTGAATCATAGGAAGAAAAGGGGACCCATAGAGATAGGTGCCTGGGAAGATAATGAATGGCCTCCCCAGCGTATTATAGATTATTATGGGCCAGCCATGTGGGCAGAGGATGGTACCTTTGGTTATAGAACCCTATTTATATGCTCAACCGCATTATAAGGTTACAGGCGGTGGTTGAGATCATTACTAACGAGACATCACAAGCGCTTAATCTTCTAGCGAAGCATAATACCAGGATGAGGACAGCAGTTTACCAAAATAGATTAGCCTTGGATTATCTTTTGGCAGTAGAGGGAGGTGTATGTGGGAAGTTTAACCTGAGCAATTGCTGTCTTCAAGTAGATGACGAAGGGCAAGCAATAGCTGAGCTTACTAGCCATATGGTTAAACTAGCGCATGTGCCTACTCAGGTATGGAAAGGGTACAATCCAAGTAGTTGGTTTGGTAGCTGGTATGAGTGGTTTGGAGGGCTTAAGGCAGTGGTAGGTGGAGTCCTACTGATTTTAATGTTGTGTCTATTCCTGCCGTGTCTTATACCCTTAGTAGTTAGGTCTGTGCAAAGCCTGATAGAAAATATAGCAGAGAGGAAGGCTGCTGCACAGATAATGGTAATTTATAAATATAAGGCTCTAGATCAGGGAGAACCAATGCAGGAAGACGAGTGTTGAAGATTCACATCGTAGGATAAGTCTGGTCTGGTTCAAAGGTAACTTGTGGTGTATGCAAACCAAGGTTAAGTGATGCCTCAAGTAATTGTAAAATATCAAGAGGCAGCAAAGGGGGGAATGTGGTGGAATCTCGGTAAAAATAAATTTAGTAGGCCGAGATTACCACGTGGCATGTGTACGTGCATATGCTGACGTATCGATCAGTTGGTCGCACGAGGCAAGATACGATCAGTAGTGTACGGAGCATGTGCAAGAATACAGGATGTAGTATTCCCCTCCTCCATTGTGCTGGACAAGCCATGCGGTCAAGCAGGAAGTTAATTCTTATTTGTAATGATTGGTCAAGAGAATGTACGGGTGGAGCTTAATATGGGAGGAGTTATGTGCCTATATAGGGAGCCTGCACTATTGTTCAGGGCTCAGAACTTGCTGTATTTCTGGTGACATTAGTCCCTCTGAGTCCCGATCGGTGATCCAATAAAGAATCTCTTCCTTCCTGAAGAAACCTGTGTCCATCCCTCTGTGCTTTGCTTCCATCAGTTTCTCCGGTATCACTTAGGCTAGAGAGAAAGATATACACACACACGGGTACATGTTAGTAGTCACATTTTTTGCACAGCTACATTCAGGGAAACATTTACCCATTAACAACATATCACATGTCAAAGTGATCATGTAATATATATGATTTCATGCCTATCTGGCTTTGCTACGTGGGCAAAACATATTTAAAGAGACACTATAGGCACCCGGACCACTTCAGCTTATTGTTTTGTTTTACTTTTCCTATAAAACATTGCAGCACTAAGTCTGCCTCCTGTGGCTGTCTGCCAGACAGCTACTGGTGGCGCTTCCTGGATTGAAACTGGCCCTCGGCCCGTTATCTGACGCTGGTCATCCTCACACTCTGCATGAGAACATCCAGCATCACTTATTTCCTTATAGGAAAGCATTGCTTCAATCACAGACTTCCCAATACAGTTTAATGAAAAGTCTTTGCAAGGCAGGTGATCTGGGCAATTGGTGCCTCTTGAGTTTAGCTCCACTGAGATAACCAAACCAGGAAGTAACAGGACACCTAAATGCAAAATGTGATGTATGGGCTGTTGATGCACTTCCTTTTTGTTGGTTCTCCACTTCCTGTTCGCAGTTGGTGGAATGTTCTAGTGGTTTGAAATGGCGGCTGCAGAAATCCTTTGTAACAAGGCAGCAATATTAAAGGGACACTGTAGGCACCCAGACCACTTCTGCCCAGTTTTATAAACTGCAATAATTACCTTTCAGGGTTAATTCCACCTCTAGTGGCTGTCTAGTAGACAGCCACTAGAGGGCACTTCCGTGTCTATAGCACAGGAAAACTGTGCTAGAGCGTCGCTGGACGCCCTCACGCTCTGTGAGGACCTCCAGCTTCGGTCAATTCCCCATAGGGAATTTTCAATGCTTTCCTATGGAGAGCTCTAATGCGCATGCGCGGCATTGCTGCGCTTGCGCATTCGGTCTCCTCAGCCGTAGCACAGGATCAGTTTTGTCCACCGGCCAACGTAATCACTGGGAGGAGCAGCGGTGAGCAGAAACCACCGCCGAGGGACATCGGAGGGAAAGGGGATTGTTTTCCTGGCACTGGAGTTTCCACTTAAGATTCTGTTGTATATTTATCAATAAAAGTCGTACTTCAATATACGGGAATAATTGACTGGTTTGTTTCAAACATAACACAAACTTTTAGTGGCTCTTGCTTGGACAGCCACTAAAGGAACTTCCTAGATGCAAAGCTGCACAACTTGCAGTTGGGTGAGTGAACTGAATGTCTTGCTTACATTCTGTGCTGCAAAGCTGATGTTTAAGATTTGAAAACTGCATATGTCACTGCAGAAGTGTTTTGGTTTTTTTTTCCTTTTCTTTTCTTCTAAAGAATTGTAAATAAGCGCCCTTAATGTCACTGAGCTCCTGCCAGAAAATGGAGATTTTCAGTAATAGAACACATCATTGCTACCTTCCATCACGCATTCACCTTTTCCTAAAAAGTTTAGACCCCCATTTCTGGATTTTTACCCCTACTTCGTCAAGGTTGGCTCAACCTTTGACACCATTATTTTTGCAACTTCTTTCACGCATGGGCAGGCTCACGTGGCTTTTTGAACACTACCTTTTCATTTCTCTTCTTTACTGCACTATACTGCATATATACACCTCCCTCCTATAAACATTATACCTCTATATATCCACACATTTAACTTCTATACACAAATACAATAAACACCTATTCACACACTACCCGTATACACACAAAGCTCCCATACTACAGTCCCTAAAGAGACACACAATGAAACCACCATTATACACATATACAAACACACAGCCTCTCTCTCGACACACACTCTACAAAATCGCTAAACGCAACCTCTACAACGGACAGGTTACTCACCTCTAGGTGCATTTACTTGAAAAAGAGGGCCTGCATTGCATGATATCCTGACACTATTTTCCAGGACTGTATATCTGCACCTTCATGTGTTAGCATTTACTTTGACAATTCTTGTTACCACTTTAGTTAGTTTACTGCCGTTTTATTTAATAGTTATTGCACCTACAAGTTTAATAACGGAATAAAAAAAATTTAATTAAGCCCTCTAATCTTTGTTTTGTGGTTAATAAGAAGACTAGGGGGTTTTAAATGGTGAGAGGTATAGGAAAAGGTGGTGTGACCAGGGATAAGCGATGTGAAGATATTTCGTACAGGGCACATATGGGTGTAAGCCTGGGTGTGCGTGTGCATGTGTGTAGTATAGGAACCGGGAACATTTGTTAATAAATGAAATAATTACCCTGGTGCAACTACCAGCTAGCTAGGAAAACGTTAACTGCTTTATTTCATTAAAAAAAAGCAAGCTATAGCACACATTTCAAAGTTTCAGTCTCACACATATTGATTATTATTGCTGTGTAGCTTAGGTATACACAAACACACCAACAATCTGGAGCGCCTAGAAAGGAAAGCCAGTATATTAGAGAGTGACTGGTCCTCCTGTTTCAGGTCAAGTTTTTTAAGCCTAAAACATTAAAATTTCCTTTATATTCTCAGTAATCAGACTTTTAAAAACCCTGATAACATTAACTCAAACATTTACACGCAGATGCGAACATTTGGATAAGTCTTAAAAAGACCAACTAAACTTTAACCTCCAATTTGTAAAAATACATATTCTTTCACATAAATGGAGATGTGGTGGAATCTCGGTAAAAATAAATTTAGTAGGCCGAGATTACCACATGGCATGTGTACGTGCATATGCTGACGTATCGATCAGTTGGTTGCACGAGGCAAGATACGATCAGTAGTGTACGGAGCATGTGCAAGAATACAGGATGTAGTATTCCCCTCCTCCATTGTGCTGGACAAGCCATGCGGTCAAGCAGGAAGTTAATTCTTATTTGTAAATGATTGGTCAAGAGAATGTGTGGGTGGAGCTTAATATGGGAGGAGTTATGTGCCTATATAGGGAGCCTGCACTATTGTTCAGGGCTCAGAACTTGCTGTATTTTTGGTGACATTAGTCCCTCTGAGTCCCGATCGGTGATCCAATAAAGAATCTCTTCCTTCCTGAAGAAACCTGTGTCCATCCCTCTGTGCTTTGCTTCCGTCAGTTTCTCCGGTATCATTTGGTGCATTGGCCGGGAAGCTCATCGTTCAACGGTAGCTGAGAGGCAGAGGCGTGAGACGGTCTATCTTTGCCCACGTTCTCTACGGCTGCACCCCTGAACTTCTGCGTGGACCTCCCTTCGTCTCGGCGCCACTGGTCTGTTGTCCAGGAGATCATCGGCCTCTACGTAAGAAGTGCTGGGGTGTCCCCGTCGATGAGTGTGAACTCAGGTTCAGGAACGAGGAGGTAAGACAACTGCTGTTTTAGACGGCAGACCCACTAGGGGTATACCGATTGTGCGGTAGGCCCAAAAGGGGTTTAAATCTGTGTATGGAATCTGCCCCCTCTGTCGGAGGGAAGGAGCGAAGGCGCACCGCTCGATCGAACGCTCTTTAGTAAGACCGTTTGATCTGGTTAGTCAGGCGGGGTCCTGTGTAAATAGCCCTAGCCGGACACCGGTGTCTTGTCTAGACTAGCGTTCTAGGGTGTATATTACGTTCGCTAGGTCGGAGGGACCGGGAGACTAAGCGGCGCCTGTGTAAATTCGGTTCGCTAGCTCTCAACCTATCTTGGCTAAGTGGGAAGGCGTGTAAATTTGGAACCCACTAGACTTTTGATAGAGTAAATAGACTAGAAGGGCAATTTTGTAAATTTCGCCCTCTAGTTCGCTATATGTGGTGTTTGGGCAGTGTGGCTAACCAAAACGGGTGTATATAGTTTTAGGTAGTCCATTCAAGGTACTGGCCAATAGTTTAGTTGGGATTGTAAATGTGTTAAAGATTGTTAGTAAAGTGTATATCTTGTTAGATAGCGCGAGCTCAGCCGTCTAGCGAGAGTGTTAATAGTGTGTTGCTGTATCATAGTGCACGGTACCATAACCCTGTATATTTACTGACACTGTATATAAGTACTAATCATTGTCGTCTATTGCATGTTTAACACCGTAACCACTAATAATTGTATTGTGACCTTAAATTGTGCTTTGACCTATGCTAACCGTACTGTAACCGATACTAGTAAAAGACGATGTTACTGGGGTGTGTTATAGACGGGTAATTCATATATAGAGAATTATAGCGTGGGTGACTGTATAGTTTCGCCAAAGGGCATAATATTGATTATTTAGTGACTGGTGTAACAGCTGTGTGTGTACGGGAATTCCCTGAGTGATTATTGTGTTATTGTGTACGTTTCACTCGGTAACTGTACCACGTGGTGCTGTTGCCAGAGGAAACGGGTGTGACTGTTGAATAAGAACGCGTGCATAGTATTCGTTGTCAACGACGTTCCATTGATAAGTATGGGCGCGTCAGAGTCAACGATTTCGGATCCCTTAGGTTGTATGGTAAAGAATTTTAAAAAGGGATTCAAAACATGTGATTTTGGGGTTAAAATGTCTCCTGTACGTTTGGTCACTTTGTGCACTAGGGAGTGGCCTATTTTGGTTGCGGCATGGCCGCCGCGTGGCAGTTTGGATCCAACCCTGGTACAGCGTGTACACGTGGCTGTATCAGGTAGGCCTGAACTTTACGGACAGTTTCCATACATTGATTGTTGGGGGCAGGCCGTAAACGACTCGCCAAAATGGATCCGGATATGCCACGAGGAGCAATGTCGCCTCATGGTGGCCAGGACTTGTTTGTCCACTAGGACTGGTGTTAGGCCCATTTTGGACACGCCCCCTGAGTCCGAGATCCCTTTGCCGCCCCCTTACTTTCCTTTAAGAGGAAGTGACGCGAATGCAGGAAGCTCTGCACCCCTTCCCCTATTGCCCCCATCCACTTCCGCTTCCTCCTCCAGTACAGAATCCACCCCCCCTCGTATTAAAACTCCCCTTCCGGAACCAGGACCAACCCCCATTAGATCTGAATATCCTGATTTGGCGCCACTTCAAACTTCCGGTCAAGCTTCTTCTAGCTCGGCTCGGAGTATACTATTCACTAACTTTTCCCAAAATCAAGTTCCCACATCCTCATGCCCTATTACCTCTCGACCGGAACCTTTAACTGACGCCCCTCCACGTAGCCCCATACTAACCCGACAACTGACCGGTACCCAACAATTAAAACATTATCAGATGCCTCTTCGTCTGAATCCTGGGTCAGCCTATATCGATGCCGCAGGTCAAATGGCACATGCTGACCCAGTCTTCGTATATGTCCCGTTCACGACTACCGATCTCTTGAATTGGAAGACCCACAATTCCTCGTACACTGAGAAACCACAAGCTATGACCGATCTGTTCACCTCGATAGTTCAGACACATAACCCGACATGGGCTGATTGCCAGCAGTTATTAATGACATTGTTCAATAATGAGGAAAGGACAAGGATTAACCAAGCGGCCATTAAGGCGCTAGAGGAGAGAGCCCGTGCTTTAAATCAAGCCAATCCGGCAGCATGGGCCGCAACACATTACCCTAACACCGATCCTGACTGGAATGTAAATGGCGCAGATATGGCTCAACTTAAAGCCTATAGAGATGCTATAATTGCTGGCATGAAAGCCGGAGGGAAGAAAGCTATTAACATGTCGAAGACAGTTGAGGTGATTCAGAAAAGTGATGAAGCGCCCAGTGTCTTTTATGACCGATTATTGGAGGCATACCGCTTGTATACCCCCTTTAATCCGGAAGACGCTGATAATTCCCGAATGGTAAACTCCGCCTTTGTCAGCCAAGCTTACGGAGATATTAAGCGAACAAAGTATATATGAATAGGGAAACAGAAAGTAAGAAAGAGGAAGAGCGCAAGATGCGTAGAAAGGCAGATATGCTAGCGGTAGCGATCGCAGGCGTAGATAGACGGGGGCCCAGATAGAGGCGATGGTAGATGGAATAGGGAGCCTTTGAGTAGGAATCAGTGCGCGTACTGTAAGGAAGAAGGGCATTGGAGGAACGAGTGTCCGCAAAGAGAGCAGTATGAGAGAGACTTACCCAGGGCAGGTTATGGAAACTTTAGAGGCAGAGCGAGAGGTAGAGGAGGCCCCGGAGGGAGTAATGGTAATAGAGGGAGTAATGGGAACAGAGGAAGTGTAAGGGAAGATAGGTACTATCCAGCAGCGCAAAGGTCCCGCGATAGAGAAGGTAGGGACTTTGTGGGATTGGCTGACACGGTCATGGAGGACTATTGATACCGACCGGGCTCCATCCCCCTTGGTCGAGCGGAGCCTATGGTCGATGTATCAATAGGGGGAAAAAGGAGTGCGTTCATGATCGACACTGGTGCTGAACATTCGGTGGTGACTAATCAAGTTGCTCCTCCATCTGGAAGAACTATTACTGTAATAGGAGCAACTGGAAGAAGTGCTGAAAAACCGGTTCTTAAAAGTCGACTCTGTACATTGGGAGGCCACGTAGTAAAACATCAATTCCTTTATATGCCTGAGTGTCCAGTCCAATTGCTGGGACGTGATATGCTATCCAAATTACAAGCGCAGATTACGTTCCTACCAAATGGAACAACATCCTTAAAGTTTAATGGACCCTCAGGTATTATGACATTGTCCGTACCAAAGGAAGAAGAGTGGCGACTTTATACAGTGTTGACTAGCCAAAACCCGAGGAGTGATGAATCCTTATTTAACATACCAGGAGTTTGGGCAGAGAACAACCCACCAGGACTGGCCCGCAATATTCCACCTATTAAAATCGAACTAAAACTTGGGGTTTATCCAGTAAGCCTGAGACAATATCATATTCCGCAGAAGGCTAAGAAGAACATCCAATCTTATCTGGATAAGTTCATACGGTATGGTATCCTAAAATTCTGTACTTCCCCCTGGAACACCCCATTGCTGCCTGTTCAAAAGCCCGGTACAGATGAGTATCGACCTGTGCAGGACTTGAGAGCAGTCAATGATGCGGTTGTTAGTA